CCTGGAACAAAGCTTCCTACATGTCTCAGAGCTGCAAAATTTTAGGAGGCTCCTGGATAGCTAATTTAAGAGAGGACATCTTTGCCTTCTACTGCCTGCTCTGTGAGACAAAGACGTAGGTATTCCTTTACGATTACAATAATAAATTATTCCTTTTTGCCTAACTACACTTCTTCTCAGTATCAATGGAAAAGACATTCCGTTCCTAACATAAAAAAAGCTGGATGAAGTCATGTGGTCAGAAGCCAGAGTCACCTCTCTGGGAAACAAGGGTAGGCTCTTGGAAAATGTTATGGAAAGGCTAACTTAGTCCCCACCTCAGCCGCAATGGTGGTAGTAGGAACGGTGTTCACATAAGCTGTAGTTTTAACTTGCGTGCTGACCCTGTAGGGGAATCCCAAGCTGAAGCCTTTGTGCAAAAAACCACTTCTATGCCCCAACCTAACATTGTGCGGACAAGCTGCAACCTCAGTACCAAGCTCCTCTACTAATTAGCCCTCTCTGGCAGAGACAAGAGCTTTGTCTTGATTGCAATATTGCTAGTGCACCAGCAAACAGCCCTGCTTGAACCTGAGGAAACTGACGCAAGCTTCACAAAGTCATGAAAAGCCATATAGATCTCCTCCTGTTTCATATATGTGCGCTGACAGCTGACTGTTGTGTACAGATATCCTCAGCTTCCGAAACCTGGGGTCCCTACCATGAGCTGATCCCTATTACTGGGCCAGATGGCCAGCTTTTCTCATCTGCAATTCCTCTTGCTTTCTGACAGCTTTTAGTAGGTCAGGTGCCAGATAATATTTCTGCAATGTGTTCAGGATCACCTTGAAAACGTCAGTGTCCAGCAGAAGCCAAGTATTCACAAATCTGACCATTATGTTTAGATGCCAAACTGGGAGTTCGTCTCCCTAGAAAATACAAACCATCCTGGCAAGAGCTGTGCTTCTAAAAACATTCAGCAGAATCTTAATGGTAAGAGCTCATCAGTTGTTCTTTGATTGTGTTTTACCAGCAGGTACCCAGTAAATCTCTTACCTCTTCTACTTCGAAGCATTGCTTAAAGCAGTTGTCATTGTGTCTAGACAATGAATGTCAAATAAGCCAGGCTGTTTCATTTAACTTTCATCTAAAACGCTTCCTGGTACAGCAAAGACCAGGGCTGCTGGTGATGCCGTTGATCTCTCCGTTCTTGTAGAACTTTACTTTTTGTTTCTTAGGGTCCATGTACTAAGGGCATAAGACTGCTATGGTCGAACAGGTTAAAGATAACTTGAAACGCAAGCAAAGTGGCTAGGGAGGTGGAAAGGGTTTGGATTTGGTCCTTTGCAGGACTTATGTGGTGTAAGAGGTAGAAGTCAATGGCACAGCTGTCCATGTTGATCTACCATGCCTCAGAGCCTGCCAATGAATTTTGTGGCTACACAGAAGATGGAGACTCCCTTTTTGCAAGGAGTCATATGGAAAAGGAGTAATGGGTAAAAGTTATTCCTGGGGAGATTCTGACTGGATACCAGAGGAAAGTTTTTCACAATGAGAACAATCAGCCATTGGAATAATCTTCCCAGGGAAGTGGTCGATTCCACAACATTGGACACTTTCAAGACTCAGCTGGGCAGAGTGCTGGGCCATCTCATCTAGACGGTGCTTTTGCCAAGAAACACTGGACCAGATGATCCTCAGTGTCCCTTCCAACCTGGTATGCTATGATTCTATAATAATTTTTTTTCTGTCCAATGAGATGGAATCTAAGCACTATTAGAAAAGTAAAAATGCACAGATAGACAAGGAGTAACCCTGTCCAGTTAGGAAATCCCAGAAACTGCAGAATTGCATCTTGAATGTAAATTTACTGAGGCTGGCCTGCTTTTCTCATTTATCTGTAGTTAACTTTTACAGGTTGTTCACAAATCCCTAGAAATCATGGGACCACATTTTGAAGCTACTGAACTAACAGGCAAGGTACATGGATGTGGCAGCTGGAAGATACTTTCTCCATTTCCCTTGAAGGTAAAACTATGCCACCAGTGAAACAAGCTATGAACTGAATCTATATTGATTACAGTTCTTTCCCCAACTTCTGTATTGCTTCTCATGCATATTAATTTTCCTCTATACATAAATCTAAAGGGAGGCCATTCTCAACACCAGCTGACTGTCACCTAGCTGCCTCCCTGCCATGCAATGCCTCGGGAAGGCAATGCTCTTCCCTGATGCTGTCAATCCCTGCAGTCAGTATTCAGACCATGTGGGAGTGGAAAGCAGCCTGGAGAAGAGAGTTCTGCAGGATAATGGCTTAACAGAGAGACTTAAGGCAAGGAGTTTTGTGAGGGGCTGTCTTTTAGAAGATGACACCAAAGATTTACATGGCTTTAAAATTATGCAACCTGTATTTGTCTGGACGTGCATGTTCTTTTGTGCCAGAGATAAAAAAGAAGGATATGTTGTTAGAGAATTTGATAATGATCTGTACAAGAACTGCTGCACATTTTCACAGAGATCTGCCTGGAGCCCTCCAAAATCTTAAATGTGGCTTTTGGTTTAAGCTCGCTTGCGCTTAAGTATAAAATTTACATCCCAGTTTGTTAAAAAAATAATTTTATTAGACAAAGGTGCCACTAATAATGGCACCAGCTATTTCCTTTTGCTGTCCGATCTTGGAATCTCAGAGCTAAATGTGCATTGACTCCCAGAGGTGCTATAGATAATTGGTATTTTACCTTGTGTCACAGTCTTTTGCTAAAATAAGACCAGGGCCCCTGCATACAACATACTGTACACAAATATAGCAAGAAGCAATTCCTACCTAGTGAATCTTTGGCTTCAGAATATAAAAGATGGGAGGGAATCTGTTTTTCCCAGATATGTAACAAATCAGCCTGGTTTTATTGTCATGAACATTTTGTAGTTCAACCATACCGGTAATGCACACAGGTAAATTATCTAGAGTAGCTATTGAAAAAACAGCTACTAAAAACTCCTTCTGCCCTAGCTCCTCTGTTCAATTTCTATAAGCAACTGTGCCCCCAGGGCTTGCTAGGAAACCAGCCATTTCACTAAGAGAGCAACGAGCAGATTAAATGAGCTCCCCAACTATCTGTGATTTGGGTAGGCGGGACGGATGCACCCACGCTGACTGAGCAAGCCGCACTTTGGTTCAGGCATCACCTACAAAACTGCTGTGCAAACGGTGAGAACTGTGCCAGGCCGTAGCTTCTCAGGAACTAAGGAGTCCAGGCCACGTCTCACCAGGAGCTAAGAGTACCAGCCTGAGCTGGGACTAGACAGAACTACAGCTGTGCTCCTGCAGGCAGCCAAAGGGGAGGTTGACTACCTGTCAACTGCTTTATGCTATAGATACCTGTTGCCCCCCCGCCAGCCCACTGAGCTCTCCTGTAGAGCAGTGGGCTCACCTTGAGGCTGAGAGACCCCTTACTGGCATCTGGTATCTATAATGAGGCAAGCGATATTTTACATCGGGCCTAAAACTATATTGTACGCCAGCAATGTTTATTTATATCCAGTTATAGATAGCTTAAGTGTTAGAAGTGTAGTAAGTAGCAGGGTGTTTGACAGCCACCTGATTGTTTAAATCATTGCTGAAATCATCAATTAGATCATCATTCAGGTACCATTTCATTATAGCTTAATTATCTATTATTCTTAAATCATTGTTAAATCACTAATTATCAATTATTGATTAATCTTAATTTTATTGTCATTTAATTATCCATCATTATAATTTGATTATCATTTAATCATTAATAAAACCTTTTAGTTAACACCACAACAATGACTTCTCTTAATAATTCACCTGTGACAGCAGAGCTGAGAGGTGTGAGTATATGAATGGGAAGAGAAAGAAAAAGAAACAGATGTGGCGATGGCTGCCAATGCCAGAAAACATTGCTTTACTGCTGTGCATTTATGACTGTAAAGAATAAAACACAGTGATAAGGAATCGGTATTTTTTTTGTGAGCAAAGGCCTTTGATGATAAGGCTGTACGTTTCCTGTTGGGGTAGGTCTGTGTAACAGTAAAAATGCAAAACCACACCAGGCGACACCCAGGATATTGCGTTTCTAATCTCTGTTTGAAAAAAAAAAAAAAGTTCAGTCATATTGATAAACCACATTCCTCTTTTAAGAGACACTGTCGACCAGTGTTAAACAGTATTACTGACTTTTCCTCTGCATCCACCACTTGCATCCCAGGAACATAGAGCCTTCCTTCCCTCCCTGCCCCGTGTATGCAACAGACTATTTATCCTGCGTACAAAGGCATGGCAAATGGGATGCCCTGGTTCTAGGGGATATTGGTGATCTGCTTGAGCCCCGGGGGAAGAAAATGGGATAAATACAGTAGCTGAAAAATAAGTCTGCTATACAATTATTATTGCCCTTATCGGACAGACAGGAAAGCAGCAGGTTTCACATGTGCAGGAGGGTATTTCTCCTGGTGTTTGTGTTTGCAAGTGCTTGCTGAACCTGGCATGCCTTTACGGCAGCCGACTGGTTGTACACAGAATTATTTTCTCGG